AACATTAAAGAAAATGTGTAACACAAGAAACAACTGTCTCAATGTATGTCATCATCTGGGAAAGTTTTACTTAAATATTGTACACCTGTAGTGTTTCCCCTTAAAACCATTATAATCTCTTTCCAGGGCTAAATGGCGTCCAGAGTCGAGCCCAAAGTGAGAGCAGCGGTGAGTTCAGCATGAGCATGGAGAATGAGCCATGGTCTAACGGCAGCAGCCCCATCCAGCAGCCCCCGTCACGCCGCTCCTCCTCCTCCTTCCAGCCCCCCAGCGATACCTCCACCCCCCAGCACACACTGAGGCAGCAGCACAAGGAGAAAGCCTCCACCATGCCCATCGCCCATCACAATTCGGAAACGCAGTCGACACCAAAACAAAAAAGCCACGGGCTCTCTCAGGACTTCTGGCTCACACGGGGTACAAAGAGCATCCGGAGGGGGTCGAGGGTGAAAGTGACGCGTCGCTCTTCAGATACAGTGGGCACAGTCAAAGTGAACCAAGGATGCAATGGGGTGAATTCAAAATTGAGCTCCAGCCAAGTTGAAAGTACCCGAGCCTTGGCTTGTTCACCTATCACAGTGCTGTATGTTCAGGGTAAGTCATCCTCAATGTCTGGCTGCCTCAACTGCTTCTCTACCCCTCTGGGGAAAGAGGGCAGACTGAGGGGGTCGCCCACATGTCTCCCACGAGCCAGCAGCGTCATTTCCACAGCAGAGGGGTCGTCTCGACGCTCCAGTGTAAACAGCGACTGCAGGGCGAAGGCTGACCCGCTGTCCGTACAGGTTTCAGAGGAGAGCCATCAGGAGGAAGAACCGGGTCAACTCGAACTAGAGACAAAAAACAGTGAGCCCATTCCTCCAGTCAAACCTCCCAGAGACCCAACCGCTGTTGTTCCCACAGATGACCCCAAACCCCCCGTGCAGGAGTCACTTCTGGGCTCCTCGTTCACTTTCAACTCTGTCTTCTCTAACACAATATTCAGCGATTCTGTGGTTCCAACCATGAGCAGTCTGAATGCCCTGGACAACAACCAGACATTCCTCGGTCTGAATCCAGATCTGGGGCAAAACTGTCCACCTGAGACAACGAAAACGCTGCAGAATGAGCAGAGACTAAATGTAACACGTGACGCTGGGCTGGAGAAGGACAAGACGCTCACGGTTGCACGGAAGTAGCTGTCACACGATTAAATATTGTGTAGGAAGGCCACTTTTAATCTCGTCAACCGAAGCACACAATTATCTGTTTCCATTGTATTCCATCTGATTATACAGCTATGTAAGGTGTAAAAAAAAGGTGTTGTGATTTTTCTCCCACACAGCTTTAGCTCATATAATACACCTGAGTATTAGTTCAAGATATTCACAGCATTATCTTTATCCGTTCGGTCTCTTTGCACAAATTATGTTTGATATAAGCGAATGACGTATGGATAGATTTCCCTATTTTGCCCGTTATTAATTAGGGTTGTTGTTCGGACTCGAGCCTGTTTTTTATTTGTATTTTACCACACTGACAATCCTGTTATGTATATTTGTGTTTGCCAAAATATTTTGTTAATTTCTGTCGTTTCTATTTATGTCCTGATACTTTAAATGAACTGTTAAGTTATTTTTGATGTATGTGCTGTTAGACTTTAATGTGAGCTTTGGGGAAATGTGACATTCACGTGTGAAAAACTGTAAATCTTGTAAAATAGGATGTATACCTGAATGCTATTTTCCCTTAAATAAACAAACCCTCTACGTAAACATTCGATTTGTCATTATTTTATTCAATTAAAAATGACACTTCCATTAATGCCGAAAAGCACCTTGCTGAGTAAATATGTTGATTGAAGAATTGAATGCAAGTAGTTTGAGAAAGATGTTGTGGGGTTTTTTGGACCATTAAATATACATGTAGCAAATATGGGTGCTGATTTCCATATGATTCTTATTCAAGGTTTCCATTGCCCATCTACGGCCATCTCATGTTATATTGCAGATATTATATTTTATGTTATTTGTTGGTCAAATTAAATCAAGTGTGGTTCATTCTCCATCTTGTTTTTTTCAGATTTTATTAAAGCAAAAAACGAGAAATGTTTGTTCCTTTACCAATAAATGTGTATTATTATTATTTCTATCAATTGAATTGAATGAATTATTTGTCTCATATTTTAGTATTACTGTCATTGCTGGTTTCTTATTATTACTAACGGTGCAGTGCAGGAGCTCTTGTGCCCACTCAGTGTTCCCATTGGATGACAGGTCAGTCACGTGAGGCAGTACGGAAGTAGACCATTTTCGGACGAAAACCAAAACATTCGTGGGTGGTGTTTGAGTTATTCAATCTGGACTGACGTTACTCAGCTCCACTGGAGTGGTTCCGCAGACTGTGCCGCATCACTCGACAGCTTTACCCGGGGCCTGGCACGATGCTGAACGCCGCCGCCGCGGAGAGGAACAAGGAGCCCATCCTAGCGGTGCTCCAGGAGAGCGTGAACACCGGGAGACACCTGCAGGCTCTGGAGATCTCCTCCGGTACCGGGCAGCACGTCACACACTTTGCCCAGTCCCTGCGGAATATCGTCTGGCAGCCTTCAGAGTTTGACCGCCAGTCTCTTGCAAGGTAAACGCAGGCTGTGTGTTTCAGTTAGTACATCAAAATACCGTATTAACAGCATTACCTATTACTCGGTTATCACGGTAATAATAATTCCTGCGTAGCTAATTTAAAGAAAGGCATTGACCATGCATCTGCGGTATTACGGTAGTGCATTCAATACTTATAATGCAGGGTTGTGTTTTTTTGGGGTCTGCTTGCATTCACAATAATGCCTTTTGTTCCCATTCTCAGTATCGAAGCGTACAGAGCACACTACCAGCTGCCCAATGTGAGGCCTGCCATCCACCTGGATGCTTCTCTGCCCTACCAGTACTGGGGGGGCATCCCGCCAGAGAGCATAGATCTGGTGGTCAACATCAACATGATCCACATTTCTCCCATGGCTTGCACGGAGGTAGGAGGACAGCTGGTATTATAGTTGCTAGACACTGCTTGCCAATACCAATTCTACCACAGTATTTAGTATACCAGAAGACAGATTTAGATGTAGTGTATCCTCCCAATACATTTTCCAGTGCAAACATGCCTGGATGTCCTAGTGCAGCAGTGCTTCTCTGGCTATACTGAACCACAATCCTTTGCACAGGGAATATTTAATCAGGGTCAAGGTTCACGTGCCTATGTTATTACAAAGCAGTATGACCCGAAATTATGTGATGTGCTTTAGAAGGTAGCCACAGTGTTCAGATTGGATGTATCAAACCCAACGACCAAAGGACCCAGTCCGGGAATATCCCTGAAGTGTGGTATTTTATTTGGGGTGATTTAATCATTTAGGCATTTGTTAATACTGTATGTACCACTATTAAAGCACAATAAAAACTCAAATGGTATTATTTCCTAATATTGAGGCCCTGTGTTGGTTTACATTATGTTTTCATGGTGACTATTTCTTAAAAGAAAAAAAGTGCTAATAAGATTTACAAAACAATAATGTGTAAGCACAAGATAGTAATTTGAGACATCATTTTACATACATTTTTCCCACTGTGAATCATTTGTGCCCTGGAGATAAATCTATTTAGGCCTCAATTTACTGCAAAAGTGCAACAAATGCAGGAACATTTCAATAAATTGGGGTAACAAATTATATTTTCTGCACACAAATGTATAGTTTGTGTACTTGAAATATATATGGTATCTCTCTATGGCCACTCCTGGGTTTTGTGGTGCGGATTGAGTTCAAATTAAGTTAACAGGTTTTGTTTTACAATTAAGTATTTATGACTTAATTATTATCATTATTTGTAATATTTTAAGTAAGTATTAAAGTGTTGTATTTGTCAAATGCAAAAGAAAAACAATATACCTGCTTTATTACTCATAATGATTGACCACGATTGAGCAACATTGGGTTTTAATGGCTTATAAATTCAAGTTATTTTATAGTTTCAACTTTTACAGTCTGGCCATGGTTTCCAGTTTCCATAAGGTGGAGATATGTCAGTGTAAGTCCCCTAGAGTGTATCTGCAGTATGAACCCTTTGACCTAAGATAATCACTGCCCTTTCTACTATTCCTGCCTCGGGTCTATAGTCTATAAAAGAGATCAGGAACATAAAGTAACCCCCACTGCGTGTGATCACTATTTTTCTCCTAGGGTTTATTCAAAGGGGCCGGAGCGGTGCTGAAGCCGCAGGGTCTCCTGATGACATACGGGGTGAGTGAAAGACCATGTTGTCATAAACATGCACTTACCACATTCATGACATGTTGTTATGAAATCTAAACATAAAAGAGTGCCTGTAAATTCTACTTAACATGGTTTCTTGTTGCCCTCAGCCATATGCGGTGAATGGGCAGATCGCGCCTCAAAGTAATATTGACTTTGACTACAGCCTACGGCAGAGGTAAAGTGTTCAACATATGTTTAATGCTTAGCCTAAAGCGGTTTAGAAAGGATTGGTCACAGTATTCTCTGGTCAAAGACAAGTGTGTTTCACTTTGACATAAAGTAGCATCTGTTTTTCTTTAGAGAGAGGCATCAATAATCATTTAAAAAAAGAATGCAATAAACTTCAGCAAATTGATTCCTACTACTGAATGTTTGAATTAAAGATATTCTAAAAGATGGTATCTACAAAAAAACTAAAATGTTTAGAAAAAAACTCTGAATAATGTAATCATTTGTGTTTGTATTGTCTATATGTTGCAAGTCTGGGGACCAATATCTAAAGTAGGATAAGGTCACTGAACAATTATTTTTAAATGGTCACCGTTAAACTTCATGTCAAGGATTATGGATAGAAATTGTCGACAGATTAAAAATGCAACTATATTTAATAAAAATTACATGGAAAAGCTCATTTATTTTTGAAAAAAGTTATTGATTTGCTACAAACCATTTCAAAGTGACACAAATAAACACAAACAGGGAGGAAAAAATAATCTAGTGGGAACTGTACATTTTAATACAAATGTATTTACCTGACTTATATATTTCAGTTTGAAAATGTATTGCCACTATCTACCTAATCATTTGATTTACTGAAGGAATACAATTTAGTTTATTTTTATTTTTTATATTTCCTTTCTTTCTTTTGAATTTGTGTTCCTAATTTGATTGAGGGCAAATTGTTATTTCATCATTTAGTTGTATTTGTTATGTGTAATATTTTGACTGTATTAAAAATCAGTAATAATGCAAAGGTGACTGAATGCCTTTTAATTTGACAGGAACCCCGAGTGGGGACTCAGGGATATCTCCTTCCTCGGTTCTATAGCAGAGAAAAGTGGTTTATTCCTGGAGAAAGTTGTGAGTAAAAAGCTCATTCAAACATCATAAACAAACAGTGCAGTTATGGGATTACTGGTTTACTAAAGTCTCGTTTTTGTTATCTTTTCCTTTCCAGATGGACATGCCTGCCAACAACAAGTGTCTTCTGTTCAGGAAAGAGAGTTTGGTGTGAAGTGTCCTAAGGTCCAGTGTGTGGAGGACAACGGTCCAAGCGCCTTAACCTACACTTGAAGCTCAGATACATTGCCAAATTCTCCGGAACTTTTAATAAATTGTTTTCCCATATTCTGGTACACATTGACATCAACGCAATTGTTTACTCAGACCTGACATACTACTCCATCTACTCTATTATATTCTTCTGTATTGCACACTTGAGTAAAACATGCTCACTGATATGTCTTTGTACTTCTTTTTTTACCTCCATACAGCCACCTACTCCTTTCTATTTCTAAGTTAGCAGAAGTGCTTTGAAATCATCCATAACAAAAGAAAAACTATATATAACACCTATGTAAAAAAGACTGGTATAAAAAGGCTAATATAGAATAAAATGTATACAATTTCATAGAAAAACATAATATTGAGGTAATATGTCTAGCTAAGCATTTTTACAAGTGTGGCTTTACTTCTGCCTACTATTCTATTTTTCAAAAACATGAATACATTTATTTTAAAAAAGAACATCTATATTTGATCTTATTTTTAAAAAAAACATAAGAACATTGGTATTATTAGGCTTGCAACACACCTGGAATGTAGTACAACCTCTGTTGTAATTAATATATATAAGATATTTCATGTCTTCATTTAAGGAATACTTCCCCGACAAAATAAAACATGTTCGTCCCACAAGCCTTCTCTGTGAACAAAAACGTTCAAGGTATCACAGTGTGAGCAACTGATGGTCATTTTGAGGGGGAAACATTCCTTAAACCTACAGTATTTTAACACATTTTGTGTCTTTTGATTTCAAGACCCATAATTAAATATCAGCTTTTCTTGTTGGAATCCTGGTTTCAGTGCTTAAGGTGAAGGTGACCCCAGACAAGTCTGACTCCTGGGATTTCTATACACAGGTCTTTTTTTTCAGAACATCACGTAGCTTCTTGAGTCTGCGTTCAGTGATGACTCTGACGTAGCTGTCTGATTGGATGATGGCAATGCCGTCCTGCACCACACCCATCACCAGCAGAGGGTTTTCCTCCATGGTGATGTTAGGACACGGACAGCTCCAGTCTATCTTGGCGATGGTCACCTCCAGGTGCTTGGTATTGAAGAAATGCAATCCCATCTTTTCATCTCTCAGGACCTCCTCCAAGCTAAAGCGAGCTAAGCCAGAGTCCAGATCCTCCACCAGCTCTGTCAGCCGCCCCACAATAGCAAAGTCACTCCGGCACAAGCTGGGCACCATTCTCCCCTTCACCCGACAGGCCTTGCAAGGTTTCTTTTCGGCCTGTGGGCAGTTGGCCTCGCACTCCTTCTTGCTGTTGAAGCTGTTGGCATTCCCATGGCAGCCGCCGTAGGCAAAGGCCTGGCACTGTTTCAGGACAGAACTCCAGGCCCAACGTGGCTCCCAGGATTTGCAGGGGCCCTGGACAGCAGGCAGGAAGCAGATGCCCGTCCCCTCTCTCTGACAGGAGGCCTTGCACTCCTCGTAAGTCTCGAATCGGTTGTGGCTATCATCGCATCCGCCGTTGCTGAAGGCCACGCAGGTGCTCAGCTTGCCGTCGTAAAACCAGTCCACGTGCCGCTCGCTGCTGCACACTCTCAAGTCTACGGGAGCCAGGCAGTCTGCTGGCGAGAAGGGCCGCCCCATGGACATCTCAGGGTCTTCAGAGAAGTCGTCAAGTCCTCGGCGAATCACGGACAAAGGGTAGTCTGCTCGAAGAACCCCCGCAGAGTTCCGCGCAATGCAGGTGTAGATACCTGTATCCCACACCTGGGCGTTGTAGATGACGAGCTGACCGATGTTGGTGATGACCACGTTGCCGTACATCTGGTCGGGCCTCATGACCAGCTGCTCACGCCGTTCGCTCTGCTTCTCCCATGTTACATCAGGTTTTGGGGATCCAGTCACATCACAATGGAAGCTCACTGTGCCTCCTACGTAGACAGATTGGTGGTGTGGGTTGGAGTACAGCATTGGGAACATGGGGTCTTCCTGGGAGGATGTAGGGGTGGGGTTGGCCGTAGTGTCCTGAGGTAGTGGACTGGTGGGGGGCCCGGCCAGGTAAAAGCGGCAGGTGACCACGGTTATTGTCACCCCGCGGATGCAGGCCTCTGCGTCCATGTAGCAGCGGTTGAAGTAGGTGAGGCCATCTGAGGCGCAGGTGAAGTTCGGCTCTTTCTCACACCGGTCCTGGCACTTGCAGATGGGTTGTCCCAGCCAGATGCCACAGGTGGCCCCTTGCTGGCTGCAGATGAAGCCCTCGCAGGTAGCTGTGGAAATGGGGGCTTCAGTTATTCCTTCCCCATCTGGCTGGCCAGGAGTGCCATCGGAGAAACGTGCAGCCACACAGCTGTTGAGACCACACACGTTGGTGCAGCATTTCTCAAAGTCAGCACAGTCCTGCACACACAAAACAGCATTTATAAAATCAGATTTAAATGTAAAAAGAAAGTAATAAAATAATGATTATTAGTTTATCAAAACATAAATAACACCACCTCGTCAACGTTACATTCCCTCTCGCAGGTGCTTTGCGCATCAACCCAGAGGTTGGAATTCAGCTTGTTGGGACAAAATCCTTCGTGTTCAACTTTGGATCCTGCCACACTTGCACACAAAGAAAGTTCGGGTAATTTGCAAATCAGGAGTATCAACAAACACGCACGAATCCATCCTATTTTATTTGTGTTTGGTCCATTAATATCCAGACGTGGATCCTGTATGCATCTGTGCTCCAAAAGTTGTAAAGAGATTTTAAACATTATTGCTCTTTTGCATGAGTCCCCCAGCGAGTAAATCCATTCCTCCTTTTAAGTCTTGAAATTCTGAAGTCGGTTTTCAAATGTAGCCGTCCGTTTTGAGCGTAAACATTATGGAAGTCAGGTTTGTCTGTGTGCGCACAAAGAGTTGTAGCAATCCCGAAAATCAACACGGGCTCCCCATCCGCTGAAAAAAAAAAATCCCAGAAAAGCGTGTAAAACATGCACTCGGGTTGCATGCAATATTTGCCTTGAGAAACAAAACAAACCTCTTGCAACAATTGGACAAACTCTCATTCAGGTCGATTTCCACCGGACAGCGAAACAAGCGAACGGAACGGAACAATGAGAGTGAAAGACGCAACATCAGTCTTTCAGAGAGTGAATGGAGGTGGAAAGGGCAGCCCCTCTGACCGCCCCCACGATCGTCCAGTGTCTGAAACTCTTATGAAGCAACACCATGCGCTAAGCAACTGGACAAACATTGTAAAAACATCAAAGAAAACGTGAAGCCGTGGTGACAAGCTGTCCCAACAACCGTGCTCAAGGAGCTACACATTCCGGTGAGACATCCAACGTTAAATGCGTCCAGACAGCATTTATAGAGGTGTCATTCATACATAAGGAAATGAGCCTGTTATCTGGCTGTTGGGTGTATTGTCATTTTCGGTTATAATTACGCATTCCCGGAGGTTTTACGCACGGAAAACGTATGCATATGCAAGTTTTCCTAGCGTAAAATCACATTTTAAAAACAGAAATTAGTCGTCTGGGGGGGAAAGCGTGTAAAACAAACACGGGGCGTGTCGCGTCTTGTCTGGCAAAACATGTTGTTTACGTCCTCTTGTCTAGACGTCAGTCACTTTAGCACCGTCGCTCATTCACACGGGACTCAGAGAAGCCGCGGTCAGGTGGGAAGGCGTAAAGCGTCCACTTTCTTCAATAGTGGGCGACGCATCTTTGTCCCCATGCGGCTCCGAGGCGATGAGAAGCTGCACCCCCCTCATCTTTTCATTGGAAGTGACCCTTCAACCTTTGGGTGACTTTTGACCGCGCTGCATTCATGCGCTGCAGCGACGTGCCCGGTTATCCAAAAAATCTGGCCAATACCGAGGGAGCGGATAATCAATTCAACCCACCCCCCGAAAAAAGGGTTTTATTGCACTTGAGCACCGGCGACCCCCGAACTGGACAAAGGGGTACCAAATATATTCCCACAAAGATAAATGAATGAAAAAAGATTCATGGCAGAAAGCTTTTAGTAATAGCTTTACTCTTTATTTAGGTGGTTGTGTTTTCAATGGAGTCACAATAGTATGCAAACACAGTTCTGATAACAACGGTCATTACCAAACGTTTACATAGTGCTTTACATTTCCATACAGCGCCAGTAGAAAACATGCACCACGGTTTTTTTATACCCTCAATGAGCGTATTAGACATTAAGCCACGACACTGGGAATGTTGGAGTGGAAGTATAATACGCTAAATCAGAGGTGGAAAGAAAATTGAGAATTTAAAAGTATAAAAGCATTTTGTTCGGATTATTTAAATTAACAATATTTTTGTAAGCTACGATTTAAAGTCCAAGACTTTCCGTAGTCATCTGACATCCTGTTTCTCCACAGTAAACCATTCTACCCCCTCCTATTGTACACATTATGAGGGTTGTAAAAAAGAATGAAATTACAGTAAATACTCAAAACGTGTTAAAAGTATTACAATAACTTTCCACCTCTGATTCTTACAGTCCCACAAATGACCGCACGGCCACAGCAAAGTAGCAGAAGAGTATTGTTTTACATTCATAAATACATTGCATATAAAAATCCCCAAAAAGCAATCCATTAAAAAATATTCCTCTCACCAAGGTGAATGTACTGCTAAGACACAAGATCACTTCCCAAAGGCTCCATCTGTACGTTTGTTCAAGGTTTCCTCCCCAGCGCCATCAATCTCTGGAAGTTCCCCCAAAAAGTGAAAACTCTGAGAAATGATCAAGCTGCTGAAACCAGTTCAAGTGATAAAGCTGCAACTAAGAATATTCGATTAAGAAAATGGCCTGAGAAAGTCAACAGATGTCCAAACCCAATGAGAACGGACTGGAATTCAAACGGGGAGTCTGTAAAAACGAGACGACTTGGCTCAACTTTGCTTGTTGTTTTCACAGATTGAGCGCTAGAGAGAACGGTCTCGTTATTTATTTGTAATCCTGTATTAGTCTGTCCGGTAAACTAGTTTCTCATGACATTCAATTCAAACCTCATTTAAAAACTAAATCTGAGTTTTAAATAAGCATCCTTAAAAAGGAGTTTTCCATGAAACACAAATAAGTTGAACACTGAAAGCAGGGCTCCCAAAACATTCAAGACAAAAACAAGCATAAGCTGGATCAAATCACCATCACAGACCAAAACAACGAGCACATATTTACGACTTCAAATACGATAGGTCCTTTTTCATAATAAAAGATGGCCGACATCCCTCCACTCGTGTGTAGTGTTAACAGGTGAGCCGTGCTCCCTAGAGTCACATCTGTCGCTCCCAGGGGTAATCTGGTTTGACTTGATCATAGCGAGCGTCTTTCAGTCAGGAGTACGGGTGAACGGAACATCCACAAGACGTCCCAAAGAAACCAATGCAAGTCCACAAAGGACAATGACAGTTCACAGCTAAATCTGTTCCTGTGAAGACTGCTGGTGGCTCTCCGTGCGCCTTTATGGCCTTCGTGACCTCTCGGAGTAACAACCCATTTCTAACTTTAACCGCCAGTCCTCTCCTTCACTATGAGATCTTACAGTTCCCCTTAGAGGACGAGCTCTTCGGAGGACTCTGCGGAGGCCGGAAGGACTTGGAGCGTTTCAGACTGTTAGCTTTGCTACCGTTAGCGCCCGACGATGCACTGTTGGCCACCGAGTACGAGCGTCCGTGCATCATGACCGCGTTCATGCCGTTGGCCATGGAGAAAGACTTGAGGTGGGACTTGATGGAGACGGGGAGGGGCAGCTTGTCTATGAGGTACACGGGGGTGCAGGAGACGATGGAGCGGCAGCACAGGTCCTGGAGGCTGAAGACTGTGGGGCGAAGAAGAAATGTGGACGTTATGTCACAACAACCGTAAGTTAAATACTCAATACTCTTCAAATACGTTTTCAGATGGCTCAAACTTTTATATTTGGACCATGGCTGCACAATGTAGAAAAACTAATTACAGTTATTTGGAATGATATTTCAACTGCGATATGTTTGCACTATTAGAGGGAAAACTACTTTTGAAACATTACTCACAGTATCATTGACATTTTTTTTAAAAAGATACGAAGATTCTTCCTTTAGCCTGTAGAATACTGTTTGTAGGCAGGGACCTCTCTGCAGCATCACACCTTTGAATTAATAATGATATTTTCACATATTTTGCCGATAACTAAATGTTCCTTTACTGCAATTTAGTCATTCATAAATCCACACTGCACATTTGTGAACATTCCAATGAATCGTTCAGCTCTATTCTTTCATTATATCCACATTACTGTTCATTAGATATCACAAAAGTAATTGTGTAAATAAAAGTTAAATGTTGATTTATTGTGCAGCCCTAATGTAGGCATCACAACAAAGGGGACATTTAGCTGAGGCACTCCGCCAGATACAAATATTTAGACACATTTAGAATGATTTGCTTCTTATCTTATCAATATTTAAGCTTTGTTTTAATAATTGTATTCTTCCAGGCCCTTCTTATGTTCCCGAACAATTCAGTTGAAAATAGCTTACATGAACACACACGTTTGTCTTATAGGAAAAACAATAATGTATAGATCTTAAATATTTTTAAATAAAATGATTTGGGCAATAATCTTGTACTTCATACTACATTTGATCTACTCGTGTGGTGCTCCAGATGAATGCAGTATGGGCAAGCAATACAACAAATATTCCTAAAGACAAAATATATGATATAACTATGATAAAGTTACAGAGGCCGCTTCTCTGTTAAATTTCGATTTCTTCTCGGACTGACCGAGCGAGGGGAAAGTGGATACTCAAGCGCCACACATAAAACGCGGCACTGTGAAGGACATTATACTAAACCACTGATAAACATGTTTTATTTACGGCTGTACAATCAATCACATTTGATCAAAACTTCAACATGGACTAGTCGGTTCATTATGTCACAGGAAGCACAATATTAGTTTCATTCTAAATATGTGCCAGGTTTAATTAATTATTGTAGAACTAAAATATATATCGCTCCAACATTGTGGGGTAGGGTTGGTCAAAATATTTACAATTACGTTTTTTTTCAAATGGTGCAGACCTTATTTATTATTATTTGAAACACTCAAGAGCAGTGTGTCTTTTCAGAAATAATGTCCAGGTCACTATGTAATCCAAATGCTTTTGAGTCTGTCAAATACACTTCTGAAAATTGGACGAATGCAATTTTAACATCCTTCATCCGTTTTGTTTGTTGTCATTTATCTAAAATTGAGAAAAACAATGCATTCATAATCTGCCATTTCAAACCAGCTCACCTCGGTTGGGCCTCCAGAACTTCTCCATCCCGTGCCTCATCAGCACAATGCGTGAAAGCTCTGTGAAGGACTCGATGACGTTGAAGTTGCACAGCGGGCTGACCTCAAAGAAAGTCATGCTGTTCTTCTCCGCGTAGGCCCTGGCCTGCTCTGTGGGCACCTGCCGCTTGAAAGCCAGGTGAAGACGATTCCCCACCAGGATCCTGGGCACGCCTGGCGCATGCTGGTGGAAAACAAAATGAGTTTCTAAAAACAATGTTACATGCTATCTCGTAACCTATTCATGCAAAGACCCCTTGAATGTCCTTTAGTGAAAGTGTTCTCTGGATTTGGTCAATCACATATCTGGCAGAAAACGGAGTTTCTCTATCAAACTGTAATCTTTGGGCATATGGGACTAGTTTGGTTCTATATGTCATTATATTTTATGAAAAAAACAGCAGTCCCATGTGCCCCAAGACTAAATATAGAATAGAAATGCTATTAGAAATATTAAGAAATGGGTGCATCTTAAAGACTCGGAGGAGAATAACAACTTGATTATGAAATCACACATATGCAGTGAAATAAACAGTTCATATGGAAGAAGTTTAATCAACACAAACAGTTGTCTAACTTTTAAAAAATTCTGCATTTGAAAATTGATACAAATAATATTTGTCCTGTGATTCAAAAGGTAGTTTTATCAGATACCTCCCCAAAGTATTTCCTACCATATTTCAAGACTTCAGACCAATCTGAGTACGGGTTGCATAATTAAATATAGTATTTTGGAGAAAAAAATAAAGCCATTGCACTAATAGCTATCTTTCTTTGCAGATGAATGCAGGTGGATTTCCTTTGTTTCAAGCAGTATGACACTACCTCGTCTATTTCCCGTATCCAGCGGTCGATGCCATCAAACGACCAGTTGTTAGTGATGTCATACACAAGCAAGATCCCCTGTAAAAATAAAAAACAAACATGTAGTACATTTGTATACATTTATACAGAATCACATAATGAAGGGAAACACAGAAAATGCTCTGCAAGTCGTCACCTGTGCTCCACGAGAGTAAGACCTGAAGATGGTGCAGAACCTGCCCTGCCCAGATGTGTCCCTGTGGAAGACACACAGACATGTAGAGTAAGCACACTAACATGCTATGGGACAGTCACTTTTGCCTCATTGTTTTTAAACACTTACCATAACTCTAATTTCACTCTTTTGCCATCAAGCAGGATAGTAGTTGTCTTGTAATCAATGCCTGAGAGTAAATAGTTATTTAATGTGAGTCAGTCCAGTCTTTTAAATCGATTTCTAAACAGCTGGGGAAAAAGAGATCGTTCCTCACCACTGCTGTAGGCATAGGGAGACTCCACTGATCCGTCTTGTAAACTTTCCAAGATTTCTCCCTTCCCAACATCGCTATCTCCCACCAAAAGGAATTTCAGGAGATAATCGTAACTCTTCACTGGACTACTCTGGGTCCCCATAATCCCGCGCATTGGGTCCAGTTCAGAGAAAGCCTTTGCAGCTCACCAGAGGTCCACTCTTCGGGGAAAGGGACAACCCAGACGTTCCCTAACAGGGGTAGCTAAAGCTAGGCGACCGACGTTTGGCGTTAGCTAACCAGCTAGCTGCTACACTACCCACGATTTACATTAACTATGTATTCTGTAAACTCAGACAATGGTGTCCTGGTCAACTTTACAAATACACCTCAATGTACGTTATCGGCAGTTAAAGCCGGCAGCTAAAGCCGAGTCTAGACACCGTCAATATGATGGAACGCATACAAAAATAACCAAAACAACCTTAACTAGCTGTTAGCTTGTTAGCTAGCCAGCTAACGCAAGCGACAATGACGCATTCTAGCACAAACAGTTGACACGAGGCTGTTTAGTTCCGCAATAAACGATACTCTACCAGACCAAATGTGACTGTTTTCAATTTGTTAGAAAGAATAAAGCCTAAAAGAGATATTCAGCGTCCAAGCCCAACGTCTATGTGGACTGTGTTGGAACTTCCTGGTGTTGATGACATCATGAGCTGCGTCCCATCCGGGGTGGGATTAACCAAATAAAAGAAACACAACAAAATATATTTTAGAAAATATAAAATGATTAAAGGCCAACATGTTATTTATTTATGTATTACCATTACCCAACATTCTCACTAGTAAAACTATTCCTTATCTGCCTCGTTATATAATTTGATTGATATTTATGATTTCTGAAATTACATTGAGGCCCTTACATTTATTAGATATAGGTCAACAGATAATAAATCTGATCGTGGATTATTTAAAAATAATTTAGTAAAATAAATAGGATGTGCAGCTTTTTATTAAAGCTTTATTGTAATTGTATGTCTCAATGTATTTAATCTATAATACAAGGTTCTTTCTATTTTACACAAAATAAATTGATGTATGGTTTTTGACCCTCACTTTATGTATGTTTTATTTACGTTTTTTATGGAAAAGCTCTACTGCTCCCTCACCATGGAGGCTGAAAAAGTGAACCATTATTGAGCAACTTGATTATTTTAAATTCGACTTTAATCTCCACCTAATGCTATTTTTGTATTGGAATTGATAAGGAAATGTCATATCAAGGCATTTGTAGCAACTGTGGGGAGTTCTCTCCAGTGATTGCAGAGTATAAAAGCCAGCTGAAACCCCACCAAAGTATCTGGTCTTGTTGATGTCAGTGATAGGCGCTGTCTTGAGTGAAAATGGCCTGATGCATGCTGTGATTTTGTTAGTGCTGTTTTGTTCTGCCTACTGTTATCGTTCCAGAGGAAGAGCTCGCTATGCTTGTGCAAAACCCTGAACAAGAGTGGGAGAGAATGCAGAAAGTAATAAGTGACTAAATGAGTGAGGACCTCAAACCGACATTCCTGAGAGCGGCAAGTGGTGCATCTACAACACTTGCACCAAGGCAAGTTCCTGAGTATTTGGTTGTATCTTCCTACGATGACCAGAAAAGTGCCTTCAAGCCAGAAAAGGGTGCCAGACCCCTACCACCCTCGCTCAGACAAATGTTACTTCAGACTGTCACCACTACTATTGCATCCGGAACAACAGCTTTGCAAACTTGGTATTGCAAAGCTGATTGAAATCTTGTGCCATGTTGACAGAATGTATGTTAGAGTAAGGCAGTGGTTCTCAAACTTTTTCTGTCAGGCCCCCCCTTTGGAGAAAAAAAAAAGTCGGGCCCCCCCCAACACAAATAGTCAGGCTCAGTGGCGGCGCCAGAGATTTATTTTGGGGGTACTGTGGGGTAGCTTGACGTTTCATAGAGGGTGCTCAAACATTTAGCGTTTCCCATTAATGTACCGGGAGCTACAGTTGAATGTTCTACTGCAACACTCCCCACGCATATACACAGTGTGACAGTTACAATGAAGGCTCGATAATCAGCTCACGGCATATAGGTGTAAGCAGGGGTCAAGTGCTATTTTTACAGGTGGTGTGTGGACCTCACATAGGGGGGGTCCGGGGGCAAGCTCCCCCAGGAAGATTTTTAAATATTGAAGTTAAAAGCTGGTGCACTTTGAGAGCAAAATGAAGAGATCTATATGGATACATCTCTCAACACAGAACTGTAAACAGATTTACTATTTCTTTATGGATATTTTACAAATCACTCCCCTTTTAAACTTTATTCATTTTTTAATGTCATATAGTATTTCATACCTGTTTTTTATTTATTCTCTTATTTTTTTATAACTATAATGATCATATAAACGTGTGCCTCGGAAATAATTGTTTACATTAATGGTGACCAAAATGTTTGAGACCCACTGAGATAACACTGATAACACTCTCCTCCACTTTGTTGTTGAAAACACTCCTTATATCCGTTAGCGTAGCTCGCTAGCACCAGAAGCTAACATCATATCTCTCTCTCTCTCTCTCTCTCTCTCCTCTCTCTCTCTCTCTCTCTCTCTCTCTCTCTCCTCTCTCTCTCGCTCTCTCTCTCTCTCTCTCCTCTCTCTCTCTCTCTCTCTCTCCGCTCTCTTCTCTCTCTCTCTCTCTCTCTCTTCTCGGGCTCTGCTCTCTCTCTCTCTCTCTCTCACACACACAAATGGCTCGTTCCACACACACACACAGAGCTTTAATGAAACACAAAGACCCAGACGTATTTTTGAATCAATAATTTTTAAATATATGATTTTTTTTTGTTGTTATCTTTTTTTTTTTTTTTTTAATAACCATTTCTCCTCCTGGTCTCTCGCGCCCCTGGGGGGCGCGCCCCCCACTTTGAGAACCACTGGAGTAAGGAAAGAGATCTTTAAGTATACAGATGCATGGAAATCTCTTAAACTAGGCACCTGTCCTGTTAACAAAGGTACCAAAGACCATTACTACTTCCTCTACCTTCTGACGGATAGCTGTGGATTCAAGACAGAGGTTGGAAAAGCAGTTTTATGTGTTTTGAAAACGAAAGCTTTATATTGACAAACCTCAACCAACCCAAATCTTTGTCTGATCCAGAATAATGCAGATTTCCGGGTGATCAGCAATGTGGCCAACTACCAGCCAAACACTGTGGTTTTAAGAGATATGCCATTTACCATTCCTGTGTAGTGTACATTTCCAAGGTAAGATATGTAATCATGATTTGTCTATATTGCTGACCTCAATACAGAACATGGCAAACTTGTAAGACTGTGACAACTGCTATTCCCTACCTTGTCGTAATGTTCTCTTGTCTGTTGTAGATTGTTTCACTCTAAAGTTGGCTTCTACCCTGAAGTGAAGGGAGGCACTGTTTTTAAAAGAACTCTCACCAAAGAGCAGCTTCACCCTTACTCCTCAAGATGGTATGTTTAGTTTAAACAGGAATTTTCTCCTTTTCTCGCTTAGTGTTTCTCCAAGTCTCAATATAAACCTTGAACAGCTCTGGGGAGAAACTTTAGATGTATTACAAGATCCTCCTAATGTTGCATGGTTTTTCAAACTGCTTAACATTTTAGAGCAGAATAAAATAATGTGGTGGTACACTTTAACCCAAATGCTCAAGTACATTAGTGTTCTAATTATAATGCACATTGTCTCAAACTAGCAGTGGGGTTAAACAAAAAAATTGGTCAAAGCTTGTGAGATAAATTACTTTATTGGCAGCTTTTAGCTTCATTTGAGAACTTACACCTGTAATACCTGAGTAGGGAAAAGAAACCACAATAAATTCAAAGCAGGACAAACTTGGTATTGCAACTTTCTTTAAAAAATTGTTTTATTACCAATTGTTATGCCAAGGTCTGATCTGTTAAGACTTTTGCAGGTTCCCTTAAAAAAAAGATGAGCGTATTCAATACATGCACTACAAGTGTTCTCTGGAATTGATCACTGCTAAAAAGCCAAAGCAGCAAGCATTTTCCTACTGTGTTACCAAACGGCAAATGTGTGACACAGCCTTGCTTAATTTATATGAATCTAAAACGTTAGTTTGCCGACATCATCCTTTTCCACAGCATCTGGCAATGACATCACTGTCACCAAATCTTTACTGTACCTTGGTCAGCAAATGTACTTTGAGGCCAAGAAACCTGAGCATGCTGCTGCATCCACTGGAGCGATGAGGATGTACATCAACACGTGCTTCATTACTGCTTCTCAAGACTATACCTCAACACCTAAATATACAGTCATTGACAACTTTGGGTGAGATTTGGATTTTTTTTAACTAAAATGGGCATCTTGTGTGTTGGTTGGAAATAAAACATGCCTTTACTCCTTATTTGCAGCTGCATGATTGATAGCAAGGTGTCGCTGCAATCAAAGTTCATCACCGGTACTTCAAAGACGTCCCAGAAATTCGGCATGACTGCCTTGATCTTCAAGGACAAGGTTTCCACTTCATCTGCATCACAGGTACTGTGAAGATCAACTGCTACAGAGCTCTAATTCTTTATATGGAAAGTGTAAATTAACTCTGAAGTCCAAATGTCTTTCAGCAAATCTACATGCTCTGTGACATCTCAATGGGGGCTGTGACTCCGACTGCAAAGTCAAAGGCTTGCAACTATGACAAAGCTACCAAGAAGTGAGTTGACTGTGGTTAAAGTAAATCCCTCCGCAGGTGGAGGCAGCTTGCTTTATAAGTCTTACAGGATGCCATGTGCTTTTCACCTAATTGTATTATTTTGCTAGCATTTCAAGACCTGATTACTTATTTTGTATGGCTTAGGTGGAAGGAGCTGTATGGTGATGACTCTGTGAGCAGCTGCTGTGAAACCACCTGCTCCTCTACAAGTCCTAAGAGTAAGTTCAGACATGTTGTGTTATAAAAGGAAATTTTGACAAAACCTGGCCATATTAATTTGTGACTTTACACAAGTGAAGCATCACTTTATGACTGTTACGGGCAATATGAGGCCAAATCCTTGGGGACAATGAGAAAAGCTTAACATGTAAAAACTGACTACTTGTTTTTTCTTCAAATGTTGAGTTTTGTAATTTTGTTTTTCAGCTACCAGGAATATGTTCTCCAGTCACTCTTGGAAGGTGGACGTTCACCCCTGGATGAAGGTCTTGGATGCTGACACTTTCACTTTGGAGGACCCCAGCATGGCAGCGCACAAAGACTACCTGCAGCACTGGAACATGACTATTAAAACAAATATGTGATGTGAAAATAATCAGACTTTTAAATAAATGGCTTCTCGTGTACTGGATGTTTCAATGGCCTATTCTTGAAGTTGTGACATGAATCCTTCATTGCTTTTAAGGGTACAGATTTAAACCAGACTTAATTTCACAATTGAGTAAACTGATTTATTTAAATGGAACAATTGGTACCCTCAATACACTTGACATAGTCATTTATCAGCATGTGTGCATTTCTAAGTATTTCTTGAAAATGAACCACAGCATTTCTGTAGATGCAGTTGTGTACCACAAGGGGATGGAAGAGATTCACTGTCTTTGCATGAGTAAATTCAGCAGGAAGTTCAATAATCCTCTGCCTTAAAGGGTTCCCAATAAGAACGTGTTGCAGCTGCTTTTTCTTGAGGCTTTTCTCCATGAAGGCTAATAAGTCTTGTAGCCTGCAAGTCATAAAGTTGGGTTTCCACTGTGATGGGTCTTTAGTCAAAAGGAGATGCATTAGTGCAGTTTTAAAATGGATATCCTTGAGGGCATTATTTCCTGATATTGCTGTTTGTCTCTTGTGGAGGAAATGTGCAATTTCAAGAGTTTGTCTGTGGCATGAATTTACAGGCAGGCGTTTAGAGATGTGTTCCAAGAAGTGGTCCTCATAGTTGGTCAAGGAGAGCGTCCAGAAAGTTTCAAAGCCATTCATGGAGTTTGGATCGATGAAGAAATGAGCATTGGTGTTTATTTTAACCACAGGATTCATTCTGAAGCCAACCTTCTTCCCCGATCTAAATCGAACAACCAGAGCACCTGGAGCACTGATGTAGCGAATGTTCAGCTCAAACTCATACTTGTGAGAAATCTGTTCCCATGCTTGTTTGATTGTGCTCTGAAACCATTTTGTAACCTTCAATTTTGACAGAAATGGGGAGTCCTTCATGCAGAGAAGGCCATCAGTCTTTTTCGTCTTTACTTTCTCAGTCTCGCAATGCAGCAAACACACCATGTCCTCTGAATTAGGAGACTGACAGGGGCAGACATTTTGGATTGTCTTATTTTCCACTAGTTTGATTTGACCACATGCTTGCATATCTGGCGGCTGGTCACTTGCCTGATTGAGCAGACACTGGAAACTATAAGGATCTAGAGGGGTAAAAGGGACAATGATATTGTACATGTCCACTATCTGAAAGTCTTCAATCACCATACCACCGTTTGTATCACATACGGCTCTCATGGCCTCCAATAGATCATTTGCAAACCCCTCCAAAAACTCCTTCCTCTTATCAGATGAGACTTGAATACATTTAGAATGAAATCGCTGCAGAGTGTTGCTGTCTGGTAGCAGCACTTCAGCAGCAGTGCAGGTCACAGTTAAGGCCCTGGTTTCTTCTTGTTTAATTTGGGAATCTTTACCGAGGTATTTCCTAAAGAAGCGGATCATGGAAATTACAGAAAGTGCGTTCCATAAGTACCAAAGGTAATCCCGCTCCCAGTCAGCCATGTCCTTCTCCGTACTTTCATTTTCTGATGTTGAGGTGTGAGGGTGTGATGGAGGGGATTCTTGTTCATTCGAACCAATCACTTCAGGCTTTTCCTGTTGTCCTTGTGGGCTTCCTGGGTCTATAAAAGAGACAGACTGTACAGTCTGGGTGTCTTCTTTACTTTTCTTGTCAAACTGTACATTTCCATTAAGCCCCTGGTCAATTTGTGAAGTTTGCAGAGCCGTTTCAGGTTCCCTTTGGGAGTTTTGTGGTTGACTTTCTGTAACATCTGAGTTGTGATCAGCAAAGTCTTCCTCTGATTCTTGTGTGGTGACAGACACATCTTCTAAGACAGATATGTTTTTAGTAACATATTGATCAGGCTGAAAGTCATCATGAGGATCTCCATTGACAGTATGTATCATATCTTCAGGGGCCATTACATGGTCGAGTTCCTCTTCTTCTCTCAGCAGCCTCTCTTCATGCTTCTGCATGCCCAGTGTGGTGAAATCTTCCCCATTCTCAACCCCGGGGTCCTCCCTTGGATATGTTAAGAGACCCAGAGCCACCACAAACACTCGCAGCAGAATATCTTGCATCGTCTGTGAATGAGTCAAACACCATTAAAAATTGTCCAAAATAATGTCAGTGATTTGAAAAAAAAAATAGAGCTGCAAAGATTAGTAGGCTTATCAATGTTTTTGGCTGTTTTCAGCCTCTAACATTTTTTCTGTGTTTCTGTTCGATAGTTTTACATTTGGTTGTATGAGATACATATTCATAGTCAATGTAGCCTAAAGCACATGTGAGCCCCCACGCCCCCCAGTATAGAGAAACAGACAGGACTTCAAAGTTAGTTCAATTAAAAGTGAATATTTTGTAGGTTTTCCTTCCTTTTTTTTTGACTAACTTTAACAAAGTAAAATATATAAATAGCTTATACAACACCTTTTTCTTTTTTTTAAACATCCATACTTTTCTTTTTTCTTCTTCAGACATTTCATAGACCAATCAATTAATCCATAGAATAATCGGCAGATTATAATAGCCCTAGAAAAATGCTTAAGTGAAAAACGTCCCTTTAATTACATAAAAAAAAATACTTAATGTGAATTGTACAGCAGGCAAACTTTCATAATGATGCTAAACGAAAGCTACTTCCTGGAAGTCCTGAGAACATCTCTTTACTTATTTCTGTAACTACATTTGACATGGAACAACATTTATAATTGCACTTAACATTAAAGGAAAAGATCAAGAATACGCACCAAAAGAAATGATGAATTATCTCAGCTTTGCAACGCTCCGGTAACCTATCTGCACGGTAGGTACAAAAGAGGAAGCAAGACACTCAGTGATCTCTTCCTTTTTTAGATGTCGTTGCAGGTTGTGTTTCGTGACTTATTTCCTGCACACCCTCTGCTGTGACATTTCCCTGTGCATTGCAGAGAAGAAAAAAGATAGCACTGACTTCCTGTAAGTTTCACCGAATAGTCATAAAAGCCTGAAGTGAATTTTCTCAGATAAACTGAGTCATATAACGAACCATAAACTTTCACAATAAATTAAATTATGTTTTAAAGGACCAAGCCTTAGGCCAGGCACTATTGATACAATTGTGTACTAGCTATGAATAGGAGGTAAGCCCCTGCCTTTTATATTGTGGTGGACTTCTAACTGGTTTGTTCAGCACTGTGGGTGCAGTTGAGTTCAGAGGACTATGTGGAGAAAATAAATCCCCATGAGATTGAATAGTTATCATATTTTCCATGATATAAGCTATTGTCTCTTGATTTGAATTGCCTCTGATTAGATAAGTGGAAACAGATTCAACCTTCACCTTTTAAGCAAAAACCACATTTTCCAGACAAAGCTTCGGGTATTTGAATGTTTGGAGATGATTTTTGCATGTCGGGATTGTTCGGGCTGCAGCTGAACTACATTGCATCCCAGAGGTTTAGGGAACTTCAGTTAACACTATAAATACTACATTAATATAAGACAGGACAAATGTGAGTTGCAAAAGTATTGACTTGGAAGTGTGTTTATGACGCTGTTTTAAAGAAACTGTGCAGCTGGATGAGAATCTTTTGTTACATCACCTTCAACACCTGTGCGGGGAGGAGCATGATGACAGGTGATGTGGTCGGCTTTGAACATCACCACAGAGAGTTCAAGGAAAACCTTTCAGTCGGTCCGAGCTACTGTGTCTGAGTAAAACTGCAATATATTTCCCAAGGACTATATCAGTATATGATTTATTTTCCTTTCCGTTTTTTCATCTACTCAAAATAAAAACGGTAAGTGTACTTTTGTGAAATTCCTTCTTGATCAATATCATTGGGATGCCTGACTTTGTTCTTGTTTTTTATTTAATTAAATCTATATTTAATCACGCAGTGTAATATAAATAAATATCACTTTTCTAATAATACTCTGACAAACTGATTAAAGTCTTCATGAAATCTGGTCAGGAAGAAAAGTCAGGGCATAATAAGTATGGTACCATTTTGCTAATAGAATAGGTCATCCTTCATATATAATAATAATAATACTATATTTGAATTCTTATAGGTTAAAATGAGTTCAGACAAGAAACATCTTTTAAAACATAGCATAACAAAGTAAAAGTCTGAACATAACTCTGAATCCAGAACAATGTCCAAGCATTTGACTCTAATCTTCAATCTCTGAATATGAACTTTCTAACTCTTAATTCAACACTTAATGGAAAGTCTTTAAATATAATATTACCTTAAGTGAATTATGTGTTCCATAGTGCCAAGAGAATCAGCATGATGTGGGGCCTTTTTACCACTTTTCCACTGATTGAGTTCCAACTTCCTATTGCATGTTCTTTCACAGATTCAACCCCATCTGAACTAAAGATCCACCACATCTCCCAAAATGGATAAGTTTCGTATGATGTTCCAGTTCCTCCAAGCCAACCAGGAATCTTTTATGAATGGGATCTGCGGTATCATGGCACTTGCCAGTGCCCAGATGTACTCGGTCTTCGAGTTCAGCTGCCCCTGTATGCCAGAATACAACTACATCTATGGGATCGGACTGCTCATCATTCCACCCATATGGTTCTTTCTTCTAGGGTTTGTGTTGAACAATAATGTGTCAGTGCTCGCGGAGGAATGGAAAAGACCAATAGGGAAACGGCACAAGGATCCAACGATCCTTCGCTACATGTTTTCCTCAATCGCACAGAGATCCTTGATAGCACCAGCAGTGTGGGTCTCCGTCAGCCTCATGGATGGGAAAAGCTTCTTCTGTGCTTTCAGCATCAACTTGGACATTGAAAAGTTTGGGAATTACAGTGTCATGAACGGGTTGACAGAAACAGATAAGCTCAAACTCCTGGCCAGGATTCCATGCGAAAAGTTATTTGAGCACCAGGAAATACGAGATGCAGCCTCGCGATACATCAAATGTATATCACAGGTACCCAGAGGATTTTATTTTTTCACTTTTTTGTGAATGATGTTAAACTGAGGGGTCATAACCTGGTATGCTTTGACGGAGACAGGTTAGACACTT